TGCGGAAGCTTATGATTCTGTGTTCATTTAGTTAGATGTCCAGCCTACATGGAAGTTTGCCATCCCTTAGTTTTGTAAAAAATACAATCCAGATGATATACTATGTGATGTTTTCTAAAAGAACATCCAGATCTTAGAAAATCAATTTCTTATCTATCACTCATAACATAGACAGGCTGTTTGAACCTTGCATCTACTTCCTGAGTATCCTTACGACTTCTATACACCAGAGATTTATAAACTGAGAAGATGGGATATGGAATCCATTGCTTATCACCCATTTTACCACTTTGTTTGGGCCTGGACAGTGGCTAAGCATTCTGGTTTGGGCTGGATGAATTCTTTGGGGGCTGAGAGGGAAGGGTGCTCTTTTGGGGGAATCCATATATAACATTTAAGTGTACCCTCAAATCTACTACAATTACCATTGACAAGTTACAGTGTATCTTAAATCAGTGTCTCTTTTCCTGACTAGGGACTGACTAGGTAACACTTGGTGATTACCTCTGGATTTCCTAAACTGCATAATCCCTATACTTATTCTAGGTCCCTTTAATACTTTAGATCCTCCCATATATGTGGGGCATCTGATCACCTTTCCATGGAACATAGCCTTGCTCCTGTACCTCTGCCCCAGTACTGTTGCAATGGTCCTACTCCTCTTGCTGCATCTTGTCCTGTCCTGAAATCTGTTTCCCATGAGTTCCCTAGTGGCCCTTAGCATCATCATGTCTCTTTCTTGCCAAGGACCTTCAGTAGCTGCCCATTGCCTGCAGGGTGAATTCTAAGCCTCTTAAAATGGTTCACGAGGTTCCTGTCTGCTTCTTCAGCTCATGGCTCACCACTCCCCATTTTCCCTGTTATACTCTTAGAATCCCAACTCTGAGCTTTCTGCACAATGACTACAGAAAGAGCTGCATGGCCTTGTTAATGTTTACTTTGCCTGGTAAGCTCATCACACTTTCCTGGTTCAATGCTCACCCTCCCATGTTTGCTGAAGATCTTCTGTTCCTCTAAGCTCTCACCCACCCTCAGAATATGACTGCGGCCTCATGATTGTGCTCACACAGTGAATGAATGAATGACCATTACTACAGGTCTGATAGAGCACATAATGTGAATCAGTCAGCAGAGGATCAGTAACAATTCAGCTCTTTGTGCCCTGTTGTTTCATCAACTGTATAAGCAAATCATCTTCAAAAGTTCCTCTGGTCAGGTACACACAGTTAAAATGCGATGATTTTTTAATACTGTATTTGGAATGCACTCGCCATTGTTATAGTTGTTCACCTAACTTCTGAATTTTCTTTGCTAAGTCCTTGCTTTACTGCACCATTAACTTACCTAATTTTATCTTAACATTATGTTACTGAGCTCAACTCTTCTCCCACACTCCAATATCCTTCAAAGTGCCATTAATAGTCACCAAGATCCTGCCTGTGGTGAAAAGAAGTATGGAAGACTCCTGTGGTAGTCAGTTACCCTGTGTTACACATGGCTGATAGGTTGGCCGGCTTTCTCTCAATAGAGCCAAATAATCTATATTATAAAAGCCTAAGTGACCTTTACGGCAGAACGACCAGAAAGACCAGTCACTATGATGCGCACTGACCATGAGGCAACAGGTGCTCAACGCAGGAGCAGGAGCTGCCCCCTGGTGGTCAGTGTGCTCCCACAGGGGGAGCGCTGCTCAGCCAGATGCCAGGCTCATGGCTGGCGAGCGCAGCAGCGGTGGAGGGAGCCTCTCCTACCTCAGCAGCAGGACTAAGGAGCAGTGAGTGAGTGGTAAGGAACAGCAAGCAGGCAGGCGGAAAGGAGTAAGGGGTCCCAGACTGTGAGGGGGCTTAGGCCTGCAGGCAGACATCCACCAAGGGGTTCCGGACTGTGAGAGGGCACAGGCCGGGCTGAGGGACCCCCTCCCCCCAGTGCATGAATTTCATGCACTAGGCCTCTAGTACCATATCATAGTGGTACATATTTCAGGCTTTGTGGGCCATCTGGTTTCTGCCACAAGGACTCAACTCTGCAGTTGTTGCAGGAAAGCAGCCACAGACAAGCCAACTAATTAGTGTGGCTGTATTCCAATAAAACTTTATTTACAAAAAAACAGATGGCCCAGGACTACTGTTTGCCAATTCCCTGGGTCATTTGTTTGCCAATCCCCTGCATTATTTCTGTGGAGGAAGATTCAGTCAGATTTTGTTTGGGTACAGAAACACTTTCCAAATAGCTTGTTCCCAGAGAATAACCTTTCTAATTATACATAATCCTGAGGTAAATACTTTGGAGGATACTTGTACTTTACCTTATTGTGCGGTTTTAACAGAAACAGAAGCTGAGGGAATAAGGTTACGTAAAAATTCATTGCTTTAATAACAACTCTCACAGCTCAGCATATCAAGAGTTGCATCCAGCATGAACCAGAAATGTCTGTTTGCTGTCCTGACACTCAGTAATGGGAGCTGGAAAAGTGTTTGTGATCTTCACCAGGACTGCAATTTTTAGGAAATATCTCACAGCAATGACTCCAAGGGAGCAAAAGCAGTGTGCTCAGTGCTACTTAGAACAGAAATATTTATGAACACTAAAATTCTAAAGTAACCCAGTTGGGAAATGGAATGATATAGCATACAGGAATTCTGGAGAAATTTTTCTTTTTTCAATATAAAATGGAAATTTTCTTTTTAAATATATTTTTTATTGTTGATAGTATTACAGATATCTCCCATTTCCACCCCCCCACTTTATCCCTTTCTCCCAGCCCCTACCCATCCCCCAGGTCTTCACTACCCTATTGCCCTTGTCCTTGGGCTATGCATATAAGTATATAAGTTCTCTAGTTTATGTCTTCTCATTCTCCCAACCCCACATCTAGTATGTCAGTCTGTTCCATGCCTCCATGCTTCAGTTCTTATTTTGTTGGTCAATTCATTTAGTTCATTAGATTCCACAAATAAGTGAGATCATGTGATATTTATCTTCCTTGGATTGTTCCAGGTCCATCCATTCTGTCTCAAAGGATAAGAGATCCCTCTTTTTTACAGCTGCATAGTATTCCATAGTGTAAACGTCCCACACTTTCTTATCCATTCATCTACTGATGGGTACTTGGGCTGTTTCCAAATCTTAGCTATTGTAAATAACACTGCTGTGAACATAGGGGTGCATATTCTGTAGAAATGTTTTATGTGGTGATTGTGCAGGGTGTATTGAATCTTGGAAATGGGCACATGAAAAATGACAGAGAAAAGTCAAATGGAAAAGGAATGTTTACGTGATCTCAAACATGTAAAAATTAATATACATGAATTCTGTTGTTCAATATTCAGTATTTATTGAATAAGAACCTACTATGAGCAAGTCTCTGTTGTAAACACTGAGCAGACAGCAATGAATAAGACCAAAATTTCTGCCCTCATGGAGCCAAAATTCTTATGGGAGAGAGATATGTTGAGGATCAAAGGGATATTATTTATTGATATATTTGGAAATGTAATATCATGAGATTTCTCCCCTATAAAACTGCTTATATTTTTAAAACCCTTTTCTCCTTTCTTTGGAATGTCTTGTTTTCTTAGGAATAAAAATTTCTCTGATCACTTCATTCAACCAGCATTTGCTAAGTTCTTACTATGTGCCTGGCCCTCTTCCGGGCCTGTGTGAACAAAACATATAGGCTTGCCCATTCTCAGGGATCTATATAGTCAAGTAGGGGAGACAGAATATAGGACAATATTATACAAATATATATTCTTATAATATATGGGAATGTATTATAATATATAGGAATATATAATTATATATTATAAGAATATAAGTAAAATGTATACAAGTTTCGATGGTGACTAAGGGACAGAAGCAAGGAGGAAAGCAGGATATGGATGTTTGAGATGGCAAATTTCTAGATTAGATGGTCAAGAAGAACTTCTTGAGCGGATGACTTGAGTAAATTATTTTTTTAAATGAGCATGCTAACATTGTGATGGTGCCAGG